AGAGCTTTGCCCAGTCTTAATTCAGCCAAGGCGAGTGTGTGAAGTGACTTGCCATGAAAAATGCTGTCTACATTTAGCTGAGGTTACCAATTTCCCCAAAGTTTCCAGGAGAATCTGCATGTCATTTGCAATGGATTAACTATTATTTGGCAGGCTATTTGTGCAGGGAATTGCTGACATTTTGAAAAGAGCTGTTTGATGATTTAACACAGCCTTAAAACGTGACCTTTGATTTATAAAAAAATGCATATAAAGTGGGTAAAATGAGGTGCTGAACTCACTGCATCAGTCTTGTCTGGGAGCTGGGCGTCCTTTCTCCTCCTGCTTTCCTCACTTCCCAAGTTCTCTGCAGGAAGATTTGGGTGGATTTCTCAGGTACAGATCTGAGCCTCATCCATCCTGCAGTGCTGTCTCAAGATATTAATAAACAACGATGCTGACCCAGTGCCAAAGCAGCAGCAATATGTGTAATTCTTAATATTAATAGATGATCAATGTTTCTTCAACTTAGGCAGTGTTGGGGTTTATTTTAATAAATGACTGCACTTCTACATCCTGTGATCCTGTGAAATCTCTGCTCCTGGTGAAACATCTCCCTGAGTTTCCCCAGGGAACTGCCTTACACCTCCCTATATTCCACTGCTTCTTGTTGTGATCTTTGAAAGAATATAGAAGATTAATGTATCAACAGCAGCTTGGGAGTTAAAGGTTGTTACGGGCATTTTCCCTTCAAATCTGACCTTCTAGGATTATTGGAAAGACCACAATAATTGGATACATACATATATATACATATGTTTAGGCAAGATCTTTTCTGCTCTTCCTGGATATAGTGCAATGCTATACAGGGAGGCCAGAAAATTGGACTGGAAGGAGTCATGAGAGGTCACTTAGTTCCCCTGCACCAAAGCAGAGCTGCAGATATCCACGTATTCCTGACAGATGTTGATATTTAATTCCTCCAGTCAAAGAGAATCCTAAAAGTCTTGGGGGGGTCCCCTTCTGGGCAAGAAATAGCAATATTAGTGGTTCCTAAGGATTTTCCTTAGGATATCAAAACAAGAAATAAATCGTAACTTTTTTGGATGCCGTAGTAGAGGAAGGAGAAGAAATAGCATATTTGGGTCAGAAATGTAATCCCATAAACTAAGGAAAGCCCATGGGAGGAGAGGAAGAAAACATCAACCTCTATCTGCAATATATGGAGACAACTCTCTCCGCTCTCCAAAAAAAGTCATTTCTGCCTTAATTTTGGTTGCAAAACATATCATAGCAAGGCCAGACAGCCTTTGAACTGTTGCAAGCCAAAATTTTGGGTTTACAAGCCAAAAAATTTTTCACCTTTACTCAGATCCTGCCCATCCCACCTCTAAGTCCATATTCCAAACTGATCTTTGAGGTCTTTGCTGGAGATCAGCTGAGGAAATTAAGTCTGGAGTGTTATGCGAGAAACAAAAGGGGAGGGTTCAAAGGAATTTTCTCAACTAATATAAAAGGTGACAGAAAATTTGATTTTGCACCTCAACAAACGACCCAAGAAGGCCCTAAAACAGCCAACGGGGCCTTGTGGGTTTGTGCAGCTATATAAAAGTCTCAAAGGTAATAATTCTTGGTAGGTGTGTGACTTCCCAGCAACACTCAGTCCCGAAAAACTGGTCTCCAAATTCCATGGAAGAGAGATCCCCCCTGAGACTTTATGTCTTTGTTTGGCTAAATCAGAAGGACTTTGATTGATCACAGCCTCTGAGAAATGCAGCACTTTGAACCTTCAGGCTGCTCCACCTCAGATAGAAGCATGAATTTACAGCTTTTCATTAGGAAAGGTATGCATTAAAAAAACCCAAACCGTGTTTCTCACAGAGAATTAAAATGTGGTTGTCTGTCATATCAGGTTTTCAAGCACTCATCATTTATTACATCCTTTAAACTGAACTGTTCAGGTTTTATAGGAATGTAAGGCTACCAAAGGCTTAGCTGATCAGGTCACATTATGCTAAACATTGCTCAGGAGTGAAATATGGAGCCAAAGTGAGCAGATGACACTTCCCATCCACTTAAAATAGAAAGTGCAAGTGAAAGCAGAGAGAAATCTCTTCCCACTAATTGTAAATTACACATAGTGACCCATCCCAGAGGTGTGAAGCAGTTTGATCAAGGTCACATCAGATGCTGCTGGCCAAGAACCAAAGAATAGCAAAGTCTCATAGGAATTTCCAAACTCCTTTGTCTTCTCCTTATTTAAATCCTTAAATAATAAGGGCAAAGGCATAACTAACATACCCAAAATGATAGAGTTAAATGATAGTGTTAAAGTCTGTATTGTAGAGGCTTTATGTCACACAGACAGGCCTACTTTTCTCTAATTTTGGTTAAGATAAGAAAGAATTGTCTTTATTTCAAAAATAAAGACAATTAGAGACACCTTCTAAATTAGTTTTTCCTTCATTTTTAAGGTGATTTAAGCAAAGCAGATGCACTGACTTGTGTAAAGGGGCACAAAACCTTTTGCTTCATACAGAGGAAAAGGCAAAGCAGTGTAAAATCTTACATGGCAGAGATGATGTAAAATGCATTTGTTCAGCCTCAAAGACTCATGTGAAAAATATGGATTTTGCCATCCAGTGGAAAAATTCAGTGTTCCTAGTTCTGGCTTGAGCACAAACTCTGCCTGCTGGAGGCTCCAGAACAGCCCAGAGGCCCCGCAGAGAGGCTGCTCTGCAATGTGTGCCTTTTCCCAGGAAAACTCCCATTTGGTTCTGCTCATCCCTCAGTTCTGACGTGGGAATCAGTGGCTTTTGTGCTGCCCCCTGGGAGGGACAGACCCAGGTTTGCTCCATGGGGATCCATGGCCGGGCAAGCTCTAACCATCACATCTTTTAAAACTGGGAAGATCCCAGCTGACAATCTTTCCACTTGCAGGGATCTGAGGACTGCAGAAAGTCAATTACTTTCCTCAAACTGGTTTTCCTCCCTGTTTCCAACATCATTCCCCTTCCCTGTCTTCCTCATGGCTTTATATCTGTGATCAATAGCATGGTTAGGAGCAGCATTTCATCTCATAAAACATGTAGAGTTCCTTTTTTGCCAGGAAATTGCACCTACGGTACATGACACAACCGAAAGATTCATCAGCCCCTGCTCTGCCTGTAGCTAGGGAAAGAAAAATCTTCCTAAAAGTAACAAAACGGGGAGGGAGCTCAGGATCTGGCCTTGGGAGAAGCCACTCTGAAATCCTGGGGAAAGATGGGTTTGAACATCATGCTCACTAATTTTTGGTTTCTGACCATAAATCTTAAGAAAACTGCATCAAAAACCACTGTGAAAGTCACATACAGAGCTGCCAAATTAGATGTCATGCCAACATATGTTATTTGGGGTGATTACTGTGCAGTGTCCTACTATTCTGTCATGGAGAAAATAATCCAGAGGTGATGCTCATGACAAAGCTTCCAGCAACACCTGCAGCTCCTGGGGCAGCAGTGGTAGAAGGAGGGCTCTGCTCACACACTGCCCACCTCCCACTCTCAAGGAGGTACTCCCAGGACCTCCTGGAGATGCACATCAGGATTTCCCACTCCAGAAACTCCAGAACACCCAGGGTGATGGGAACATCCCTGAGACAGAGTGCCCAGGAAGGGCCAGTGCTGCCACACTGCTGCACAGCCAGGTTGTGCCACATGTTCTTCAGTGGGGCTTGGACACACACTGATGGAAAAACCACGGCCTGGCTCTGGAAAGAGGGTCCTGGAGTGAAGATGTGTGATGTGAACACGGACATTGGCCATGAACATGCCAGTGCAGGGGCACTCGTGGTACAACAACTGCAGTGATGAGAGCTGACACTTCATTTCATCATGGAAACATAGTATGGTTTGGGTTGGAAGGGACCCTAAAGATCATCTCATTCCTACTCAACCTTCCCCTAGACCAAAGTGCTCAGAGCTCCATCCAACCTGGCCTTGGACACTTCCAGGGATGGGGCAGCCACAGCTTCTCTGGGCAGCTTGTGCCAGGGCCTCCCCACTCTCACAGCCAAGAATTTCTTCCTAATATCCACTCTAAATCTACTCTCATTTTGAAGCCATTTCCCCTTATCCTGTCACTCCAGGCCTTCTAAGTAGTCTCTCTCCACCTTTCTTGCAGGCTCCCTTCATGTCCTGGAAGGCCATAATTAGGTCACCCCAAAGCTTTTCATCTCCAGGCTGAACAATCCCAGTTCTCCCATCCTTTCCTCCCAGCAGAGCTGCTCCATCCCTCTGATCATCTTGGTGCCTCCTCTGGACTTTTCTTTTAAAATAATAATTAAAATATTTTTAAAAATCATCAGAAAAAGAGATTTTAAGGCAACTTTTCTTATGTACAGATATAGCAGCAGTTAAAAGAACTTGACTATTCCCAGCTAAAAGGCTTTACACTACAGCATATTACTGACATTTATCTGGCTATAAACAAACACCCACTGAAGAGCAGCACGTTATCATTAATTAAACAACAACAGTTGGGTGGAGGAGAGAGGAGGAGGAGGAAATAATAGTCATTTAGTTTAACTGGAAAAACGTGCAGAGACTTGTAATGCAGCTACAAATCCAGTGAGTCAAAAATACAAACCTCTAAAGTTAATGTTCCAAGCACAGGCAACAGCAGCATCCCAGGGCTCAGAGCTCATGGATCAGCCTCCTTTTGTTAGTGGGACCAGGCAGAGATTTGTTGTATGTGTGATTTTAAGAGAAGGCAAAATGGATGTATTATCATCATAGAATCATAAGATGGTTTGGGTTAGAAGGCACCTTAAAACTCATCCAGTGCAATCACCTGGGTGCCTGTGATGTTGGTTTTCCTGCCAGGGCCCCTTCCCATCAGGATTTGATCTGGTATCACCAGAGATGTCATTCCAGGCTTGAGGGATGCTCTCTTTTTTCCAGCTCTGAAGTAGAAGGGTAAAAGCAGCCAGGAATACAAATATTTGTGGGAAGCAAAAAACCACTCCTACCCCGCGTTTATTCCGAGCTCATCTCTGCCCTTCTTTTTAATAACACATTGAAGATACATTATATAGCAATTTACTAATAACTCTTCATTTCTAAAGTGGACAAGTATCATTTATCAGCCTGTTGTAGGGCAACAAATAAGGGGAGAGGCTAAATATGGCCCAATGCTGACAAATCCACGAGGGCTGCCCTGCCCTGGGCTATGTCCATCCATCATAGGACAACTGTACCTGAGACAAGATGACTTGTCACAAACCTCATCTCTTTTTGTTTTTTTTTGACTCTGCCTCCAGATCAGGCAGCCAGAGTGTGCAGATGGGAAGGCAGAGGCTGGCACGTTGTGCCCATGACCAGCTCTGAGCCCCCCACTCCAAATGCAGAGCTCCACGAAGTGCTCGGAGCATCCCGGGGGATTTGGGCTGCAGGAAAACCTGGAGGACTCTGGTTCTTCTTACCACCCAAAGCAAGGCCAGCTCTGGGATCACACCAGACTGCTCCAAGCTCTGCTCAGTTGGGTCTTGGAATCCTCTCCAAGGGTGGAGGTTGCAGTCTTGAGTTGGCTCTGCTGCTGGAACTTAAAGAGGTTTTCAGCACAGATTCCCAATGAATCAATCCCACCTTTAAAGGCGAAAAAACATTAACTGGGAAGCAGGAATTGGGTGACAAGAAACCCAGATCATAACCCTACCCTTGCCAGACCCCCATGCATCAGAACAGGTGTTATGGGGTTTGGGACCCTCAGATCCTCCCCGTGGAACAGATGAATGTTCATCTAAAGTGCCTGTTTGATCTTCGTCGTTCAGTCATTCAGGTGCGTAAGAAGCTTTTAGAATTCCAAATGAAAGGTTGCCGGAGATGAGAGGGAAGATGTTCCTCCTGTGATAATTAAGGAAAAAAATTGTCCCTGAGCATTGCTATGCTGAGAGTGCCCTGCTAGGCTGCAGCCGGTGGGGGGGTCCCTTTGTGGATTCCTGGGAAACGTGCATTTCAGCACTTTTTCCAAAACTCGTCAGCTCAATCAATTTTAATCCATTTTCTATCTTCCCCCAGGGTGAACAGAGGAGGAAAACACAGATAAAGAGAAGAAATGTAAGCAATATCTGCAGATGACATCTTGGAGCAGCGTCTGGTAACCTCCCCCTGGCTGTCTTTGAGGCAAAGGCTGTAACAAATTGTTGCTGGGCAGAAGGAAAATGTCAAGTGCTCGGAATCACAGAGTAGTTTGGGTTGGAAGGAACATCAAAAATCATCTTGTTCCACCCCTGCCATGGACAGGGACACCTTCCAGTATCCCAGGTTGCTCCAACTTGGCCTTGGACACTTCAGGGATGGGGCAGCCACAGCTTCTCTGGGCAACCTGTGCCAGGGCCTCCCCACCCTCACAGCCAGGAATTCCTTCCCAATATCCCATCCAACCCTGCCCTCTGGCAGTGGAAACCCAATCCCCCTTGTCCTGTCCCTCAAGGCCTTGTAAATATTCTCCATCTTTCTTGTAGGCTCCTTTCAGGTACCAAAAAATTCACAGCAAATATACACCCCCAAATGCTCCAGGATTCATTGCAAGTGTGTATTTCTCCCTCATAGTGCCATATTTTGAAGTCCCCAGATCTTATCTTTAACAAAAATTGAATGGAGTCATATTTATAAGATAAAATATATTCATTTATGTATAACTCCTTTGTCCTTATTCTTTTTCTGTCAATGGGCCGGAAAGAGTCATTACACACTCAATTACCTAAAAGACTCTATCAAAGCTCAAGTGCTCAGCCAAGTAAGGAAGAGAACTCCTTTTAAGAGAACTTTAAACTCCTCTTCCCAAAGGCACAAAAGCTGGTTTGTCCTATATAGTTATATTTTTTCTTAAGAAAAATAAAATATTTTTTTAAACTTTGTTCCTGCAGGTGGAACTGTTCCCACTGCTTGTGCAGGAAGGATCAACATTCAATAACTAGAGCTCTTAATTGATGGTATTTTTTGGTCTATGGTGCATAATGCACATAATAAAGTAGAGAGCAAGTGCAACGTGGTGTTGAGAATGCAAATGAACTGGTAGGATTTTGAAAAAGAGTTAATTAGAGACCTCTAGTGCCCAACAAGATCGAGGGCTCTAATGCACTTGAAAGAACCAGCACAATGCAGCAGCTGAATTGGATGTATTGTGCAATTATTAAAATAATTCCATATAATGAAAAGCTTAATTCTAATGTGGTTTTTCCAGCAGTAAAAATATACTAATAATAACTGTGTTTGTAAATGGTTCTTTGAAAAAGGAACTCGGAGCATTTTCTTTCTCTACTCAGTAGCTTTCCTTGGGAATATTTATTGCCAAAGGAAAAAATTATGAGATCCCATAGACCAGCCAATTAATCAAATAAGGAATTTGACATTAAGTAAATTTGGCAGCAAATAAAACCTGATAATAAATAGATTTGATATAAAATGCTCTAAAAGAAACAGGGTGGAGAGTATTGGAGGTTGTTGTGAGTCCCTTCCCTGCCATGGTTGTTGTGGGTTGGAAATCACATTCTCCCTTTTCCAGCTCTACCTGCAACTTGAGCACCAGTAATTGAAACCATCAACAAGGGAAATTCAGATATTAAAAAGCCTGACAGGAGCAGGATGCCAAGAAATTCTTAAGCAATAACTGTTTTCCCTCTTCCATTATTCTCCCTGTTCTTCTATAGTTATTTCCCTCTCATCTTTATTCCAAAGGCACATAGAAAGTTCTTTTTTATGAAAACCCAGATAGTTTGAATTTTATTTGCTGAATGAAAGCATTTTCAGGTTATATACCCAAAACAAATGAGATCAGGAACCAGTTTCCAAAAAATGGTGGAAAATAATGACAAGGAACAAATGTACCTTTTTTCCAAAGCTCAGGAATTTATCCCTTGTCTTCCACCAAGTAGAAGAACATTTCTAGGTACTAACAAGAAAATTGCATTTTTATATCACTTGTGTATATATATGTGTGTGTATGTGTACTATATATATGTATAATAGGTACTTATATGTATATATACTTATATAGTATTTTTCAATGTCCCTTAATAAAGAAACAGCCTCAAAAATGATCACAAGATACAGAGCAGGCAGAAAAAAGTCCTTATATTTATATATTATCCTTATATGTAATTATATATTATAATTAGATATTATTATAATACATAAATATGTAAATGAAGATAATAAATTGCAATAAAGAATACAAATTTTACTTTTCCTCTTTCCAAAAAGAACCCTGTGTGATTTAGGGTATAGGTTTGATGTTTTGGATAAGACAGGTACATGGGAAGGGTCAAACGTGAGTTCAAAAAGCTGAACTGTTGTTTCTAACTCTTACAAAAAATTTTGAAATAGCTCTCTTGGCACAGGGGAAATAAATTCAAATTAAAACTTTAATTAGTACAGCATTTAGGAACATTATTAAGTTGTCTTTTGTGGAGGCAACCCTGGAAAGCACAGCCTTCATGTAGCTGAGACAGCCCAAATTCTATAAATAAAAAATGGAAAGGCCACGATTTATTACACTGAAAACCAGGGGAACATTCACTTTAATGCATTACAGCATGAGCTTTAAATAACATTAAATTGTATTGCCAGGGTGGTAATTTGCATTAGCAGATCCCTGGATATAACCACCCTCCAGGATTCCTTCCCACCCCAGGCCTTCACTAACTTCAGTTGGAATGACCCGTGGCTCCAAAAAGGTTTGACCATCAATTACGGACTGCTCAAACTCATTTTCAGATCCGTGATGGTGACAACCAAGTCACCCTCATCTTGCTCTGGTTGCTCATTGCATTTTCCTTCTTCCTGGGTCTTCGGAATCAAAACATCAAAAGACATTGGGATGTATTTACTCCTTGGGACTCCCAGGAACAGGCTGCAATTATCTGAGTGACTGAGGCCATTTTTCTCAAGCAGCCCCATTTCCTGAGCTTTGATGCATTTGGTGACGGTGCATCACACATGGCAGGACATCCCTGCTGAAACACAGGCTGGGGGGCCCAGCAAAATGGGGCTTCCCAGCCTAACTGGGGCACATGGGTGAAAAAAGGGGAAGTCAGAGAAGGATCTATGTGAGATGAGCTCGAAATACAAGACAATAGCTGGGTTTATGTGGAGAGCACAGAACTGCAGGGGGAATAACATTGTTGACTGAAGGACATCAAATCAGGGTTCAGGGAAGCTTTGCACTAATCCTGTGTTGTAATGACAGCTTAAAAATTTGGTACTTTGATGAGTTTTGAGATTGACTTAAACCTCTTTAATTTGGCTTCCCGGTATTTAATCTTTTAACTTTGCATTCTTAATCAAAACTCAAAGCAGATCTTTAATCTTGTATGTACAAAACGGAAGATTAGGGGAGCCTGACCTGCCTCTGGCAGACAGCTGTTTGCTTCCCCTTTTCCTTCTCCTCCTCGCAGTCAGAGCATTTCAGACCTGTACAAAAGTCTGAGGAGGAAAAGGAAAGTGCACAAATATCCTCTGGCAGAGGGTTGGAACAATCCTCTCTTCAGGGAAGAGTTAAAATGCATCAGAGCCCCTGTGTGTGCTTCTTTTAAAACATCATTATGGTGACAGGAATATAATTCTCTTTGGGCCAGATTTCTCATGGGAGAGGGAGAGCTACAGGATAAGGGAATTGTTTAGGTTGGGAAAGACCTCTGAGATCAAGTCCAGCCCCAAACCTGGCTTTCACGAACCCATGTCCCCAAGTGACACATCCACACATCTTCTAAATCTCTCTGAGTATGGTGATTCCACCTCCTCCCTGGGCATCCTGTGTCAGGGCTGGACAACCCTGTCCATGAAAAAAAACTTCCTAATATCCCATTTAAACCTCCCCTGGTGCAACTTGAGGCCGTTTACTCTTGTCCTGTCACTTGTTACTTGGGAGAAGAGACAAAATCCCTCCTGTCAGAGAGTTGTAGAGGGAGAAGGTCCCCCCTGAGCCTCCTTTTCTCCAGGCTGAGCCCCCCCCAGCTCCCTCAGCTGCTCCTCGCAGGTCTTGTGCTCCAGCCCCTCCTATCAAACATGTCTGGGTTTATTGTAAATTCTTTGCAGTAGGGACACTTTTTTAAAAAATTAGAAATACAGCAACTCTTTTAAGATGGTCAGGTGTTCTTATAGACTAAGAAGTCACTTCAAACCTATTTGATGTTGGAGGGATTCCATGGTGGCCATGAGACAGGGCACCTTTGGTCAGAATAAAGACCCTTCTTAAACAGTCACATTAGGAGAAGACCAAACTCGATTTCACAATTCATTTTAAATTCCTTGCACTTTCCACCATAGAAACCCCTTTATTTTACATCATTATTAGTGATAGTTATCTTGGTTTATCTGTTCCTGAATTATTCCAATTGCTTCAATAGAGGCAAAGTCTATGGGAAAGTAATTTCCTGAAGTTCAATAAGAGTTTTGAACTGTTTTCAACTTAGTTTGCTGCCAGTGAGCTAGAATTAAACTTTTCTTAATCTGGATTGTTTCCTTAAAGAGCACATAAGGCTGGACAGAATAGCAAAAATTATCTGGGGTTTTATTCAGAGGAGTAAGGAAAGGTCAAAAGGAAAAAGACATTTTGTATACAGCAAATAAACACAAGAAAAAAATCCTCAGTGAATAAAAAAGAACATTTCCAGTGTGGTTTCTGACATCTTGATTTTTGTGCAGTGCCTTTGTAACATAAATGTTATTCATATAATACAAGGATTAGGATGAGATCTTCCTTCCCCCCTTGAGGAAGACAGCTCAGGATTAAGAAACTGTTTAGAAACATTCCTTTCTCCACCACCTTTCCTAATTAAAGCTTATACAGCTCCACTTAATAATCTCCATTTTTATCAAGAGGTCTGTTAATGTCAATTGAATCGTAAGATAATTTTTTTTCCCAGTGGATCCTGTCAACTCTTGGTCTTTGAAAGGAACAAGAAAAAACAGTGTGAATAACGAGGAAGATCCTTAATCCTCACGTTTAATTTTGGAGTGGAAAAAAAAAATCAGCAAACCAGAGGTTGGTTGTTCAGCTTTTTGGAAGCTCCAGTTGCTGTTTGACTGTTGAAAAACTAAGAAGTTGAGATGTTCTGTAAATATTTAGTTAAGTCATTGTGTGAAGTCATTTTAAAAACTGTGAGGAGTCATGACCAGTCTTACATCACTTTTTTTTTCATGGGTTTTACTTCCCACCTGAACAGCACAACATAGGTTTGAAAGGGGATAAAAAGAGCAGAAGAATATCAACAAAAGCACAGGACTTCTCTTAAGTCTTGCACAATATTTTTACGATTTATATAGAAAAAAACCCATGAATCACATTCGAGTGAACAGGAGAGTCCTGGATCTTACTAATTCCCAGGCTTGAGTGGTGATGCTCCAGGATGAGGGTTCTGCAGCACATATGGGAAGCAGATTCTTCTTTTGGATGATGAGTTGCAAATTGGGAGGAAGAGAAAGGCAAAAAAAAGGACATTATGAAAAGAGAAAACCTGTGTAAAGGGCTTTTCCCTTCCTTAGATACTTACCAACACGAGCAGGGTCTGTGCCAGTGCTGAGCATGAAGGATGTCGTTGTGTCCTGGGACATCAAACATTCCCCAGCACTGCTCAGTCTGACTTAACATTCAAGGGGAAAATCAAAACTGCTGCTGCTTATCAATAATTTGCCTTCTAAAGGATTTTCTTTGCAAACATGCACAAATGCATCAGCTGGAGTGACTCTGTCTCCAGCTGCTGCAACTTGGTTTCTGCTGTGAGAGCAAAATCCAAGGATTGTTTTTTCCAGACAGGACCTCAGCAGAGACAGCCAGGACTCAGCACCAACTGTTTTCCCAGCCACCTGGAGGAGATGAATGAACAATTTGGACCATGCGATACCTCCTGCCATGGGATGGGAGACCACATTTCTCCCTAAAAAGCTTTCCCTGGAAAGATTTGCACATCAAAAAGCTGCAACGCCCAAAAGCCAACCCTGAGCAGCAGCTGGTTGAGCCTGAGCCTCAAATCCCAGCTCCTCTGGGAGACAAACCCAGAATCCCAGCGATGCTCAGCAGCTGGATTCTTGGGATAAAGGACTTTTTCATTAATAGATTCCCTAAATTTTTTAGTCAGCCATAAGAAAATCACCAAATCACAGAATCAACGAGGCTGGAAAAGATCTTTGAGATCATCGAGTCCAACCTGTGACTGATCACCACTGAGTGCCATGTCCAGTCTTTCCTTGAACACCTCCAGGGATAAAGTGTTGGAATTCCCAGGTGAGTGCCTCAGTTGCAGCACTGAGCCTTCCTCCTCCCAGTTTATTTTCTCCCCGTTAAGAGCTCCACAGGGCACTCCAGACAACAAAGAATTTTTTTGGGATCAGACACCTGATCTTCACCTCAACAGAACAGAAGAGAGAAAAGAAGGATTAATGTGCTGTATTCCAGGTTCCATCAGTGTTTCAGGCTGTATACTCAAAGTTTTATAGCCCAATGTAAAATACACTCTCTGGGTTGAAGCACAGCTGTTTGATTTTAAGATAGGGGGCAGAAATAATTTCTGATGGCTCAAATAAAGATTTTTTTTAAGCTATTTTTGAGGTTAGAATTATCCACAGGTCACCCTCCCTTACTAAGAAAAAGCACTTGAAGTGCTTGGAAATTTCTCATAACTTTAAAATAATAATCAGGCTTGAAATAATGATTTTCTTTTTATGACACCAGTACACTCTTGCTTTCAACATTTGCATTTTAATACCTCAAGAACAAAGACTTTTCTACATATTTTTCAACAAAAAAGCTGTTTTTCAGTCCAGCTTGTAATTTTTCAATCACGTTAATATCCCTCAAAGCACTTTCATTACTGAGTTTTATACAAAGATGATTGTGTGTTTTGTAAGTTATGGCAAAAAACACACATGAACTAAAAAAATTGGGGTTTTTTAAGCTGATGAGGGACAATAGATAAAGAAGAACCTGTGTGTCACTGAATTTTCAAGTATTTTATCTGTGGAAACAACTGAAAACAATAGGAAGAGTCAGCCCACAACTGACATAAGAGCTTGTAACTTCATTTATTGTACGCTCTTAGGCTTAATCTGGCATAGCACTAACAGCAAAGATACTCCCATAGTTTCTCAGCAAAATAATTAGACACTTAAAGATCTATTTTATTATAACTAAATTTATATTGTTATAATTAAGGATCTATTTTATCACAACCAAATCTCAGCTCCCTCAGCTGCTCCTGCTGCTTCAGGTCCTGGAGTTCTGCAGAGGGTTGTGCTGATTTTTCTACAAATAATTTAAATTCCCTTTTCTGCTAGTTTTTGGGATTGTTTTTTTTTCTTTAAACCAAGCTGGGATGGTTGTTCCCACGTCGGGAAGCAGCAGGGAAGGCAAGACACAGGACGGTGCTGCCACCTGTGGTTTTAAACCAGAAACAAAACAGGCCAGTTCAAACCACAAGAGGAGCCACTGGAGAGGTGACATTTGAGGAAGGAAAGTTGTCCAGGCTTCCCAAAAGATGAGTGACAGAGTTGGACCAATTCCTAGTTGTCTCCCCACCACCCCCATCCCAAATTAACAGATGTTTTTGATGAAAAGCCGCAGAATCACAGAATGGTTTGAGTTGGGAGGGACCTTAAAGCTCATCCACCCCCCGCCATGGGCAGGGGCAGTTTTCACTAGCCCAGGTTGCTCCAAGCTGTCCTTGAACACTTCCAGGGATGGGACAGCCAATTTTGCAGAAACTGGCTGTCCCCCCCCAAAAAAAAAAAAAAAGATGATAAATTTCCATTGTAACAAAACTAGAAACCTCTTTTCCTGTTAAGAAAATAACAGAAAAGTCTTTTTTTTTTGATGTGGAAATCCTGTGATTTCCTGATTTCTGCCTTCCAGAATCTGACACATCCTAGGTTTATTTACTTCGGTGGTGGTTTGGGTTTTTTTTACTAAAAAACCTGAGACAACAAACAAAGGAGCTCCTTATTTAATTTGGTGCTGACTGAAATCCCCAAAGTAGATGACCCTTTTCTGACGTCCTCTATAGGCATTACAAATACATTCATTTTGACCTTCTAATTTTGGAACATTATGCTGGTAAATCAGTTTTCCATTAGCAAAAAATGCACAAATTACAAGAAGCCTTAAAATTCTGTTAGAACCTAAAAAAATTATGGATAGTTTTCATCTGAATCCTCATTTTATTTTTTATACATCTGCAGATATATAGAGAGCTGAAAGCTCCTTTTTACTGGAGCACCCAGGAGAAATTTCTCCCAGGGGAAAGAAACCACTACATTCACACACTATTTTTGCTGTTCAAAACTGTGTACAAGCAAATATTCAGATTCTAGTGAACCTTATAAACATAACCTCCAGATCTCCTAGTGAGCAGTGATCATTCAGTGGCTTTGCTCTGCTTGATGTTCCCAGAATGAAGTATTTTATCAGTTGGTTCATTCCTCAGTTTCCTCTCCAAAGCAACTCCAAATACAGCCAGGAAAATGATAATCCATCCTGGAATCCCTGTCTAATTAAGTGTTCTGTAGGTAGCAAGTCAAAACACTGTCCTGAAACTAAAATGAGATTATAGTTTACCTTGTGCTTTGCAAATCCTGTCACTGGGGTATCTCACACCCCTTAATCAAAATCTCTGTGGAACAGGGTCTATTTGTGCCCACAGTATCCAGTATAAAGGAAAACTATTCTTTAATGGTATCCTTAGAAAGCTACAGTGTGTTCTGAATGAGCATTATTACAAATATTATTTCATAGAATATCAGAATGGTTTGGGTTGGGAGGGACTTTAAGGATCATTTCATTCCACCCCTCCCATGGGCAGGGACTCCTTCCACTATCCCAGGTTGCTCCAATCTGGCCTTGGACACTCCCAGAGATGGGGCAGCCACAGCTTCTCTGGGCAACCTGTGCCAGGGCCTCCCCACCCTGAGAGGGCAGAATATTTCCCTGAGGACTCCCAGTTAATTCCCAGCACATGCAGCAAGGGGGGATGGTTGGATGGGGCTGTGAAGGATCATCACTTGCCAGCTGTTTTTTTTAAACTGAATTCCTAAAAGCACAGAGGCCACTGTCCATAAATCTTGCTCTTTAACCCCATATTCCCAAGGGATGAATTGCATTAACAGACTCAGAACTCCCCAAAAATCATCCCAAGAAATGACCAGAAACTGACCCAAAATTACCCCATAAAATGACCCAGATCTCACCCACAATTACCCCAAAAAATGACTCAGAACTCCCCAAAAAGTGCATCTGGTGCAATTCTGCAGCAACAGAAACGCTCTGGCAGCCTCAGTTGGATGGGGCTCAGGCAGCCTCAGTGTTAATCCCCAGCTGGAAGGTTGTCAAGTCACACACAACTTTCAGGAGAAATTATTCCTTTTCTGTTATTCAGAATATTTTGGAAGGTTTTCTGAGACTGGAGACATCTCTCACCTCGCAGGTGATGCTGTCCCAAAATACTGTCACCAAGAGACTGGACTGACAGTTCCATAAGAACAAAGTGGGGGAAAGTTGTACTTTTCCCCTTTCTTTTCCTTTCCTCCTCACCTAGGGCAGGATTTCTCCCTGCTCCTTCCCAGCTGTTGCTGCAGATGTTGAACCCCAGCCCTGCTGCAATTCCTCCCCCTGCCTGTCTCTCTAGCACTGTCTGCTCACAAGAATTGAAATTCCAGTTAAATATCCGCCTCAAAACTTCCCTCCTCCGCTGATATAGAAGAATTCCAGGATGACACTCAGCAGTAGAATAATGAGGATAATTCTCACTGCGTTCGCACAGCCCACGAGATTCCTCTTTCTTCAGAACGGGAGGGAAAGTCCCGTGGCTGGGGACAGCAAAGGGAACCACGTGTTCAGCCTGTTTTGGTTTTCCTCTTGTGGGCTCAGCAGCGACATCCCCAGGGCTGCCAACAGCTCCCAGGGCAGCTCCTACACACGTCAAAAGGCAGGATTCAGGCAGGGATTCGCAAAGCAGCCCCAAAATATATAAAATTTCCACCGGTGGCCTTCAGCCACCCAGTTGAAATCCCTGCTCTGCAAACACTTCCTTGCAGAATTCCAAACACTTGTGTCCCATCTTTTGGCTGGCCCTCTGTGAGACGTCAGCAGAGCCCAGCTGGAAAATCCCAGCCCTAATCCAGCTGTTTTTTTCCTAACCCCACATGCAGAAAAGGATCAGCCTCAGCCCCACAAGTGGAGATGTGTCTCATTTCCCATGCAGGGCACTGAGCTGCTCCTTTGCAGTCCCAGTTTAACTCCTGGACCAAGAGCAGAGTTGGAGAAAGCAGCGGAACCTGGGAAAATATAGGCTTCCTAATGAGGCCTTTTCCAGGCTGGAAGCCTCAATTTCTTCATCTGTGGACATCTATAACCTCAGACATGTGAGATTTTCTGCACAAGATAAGTGCTTCTATCATTTCCTGCAAACTGCTTTTGAGTGTTCCAAGGAATAGTCCTCCCTCCATGTCCTCCAGAGGATTTAACACCCCTCACCTGGCTGAGCACTTCGTGTCACCCACTCAGTTTTAGTCACTGGGACTGTCTGAACTCTTGGATTTTAATAGGAATTCTCCTTTTCACTCACCCAGGATGCACTCGGGGTCTGCATGTCCAAATATCTGAAGGTCAAAGGCTTGCAAGGACCTAAAAGCCGAAAGAGCTGCGGGAAAGCTTTGGCCAGAAAGTGGCAGCAGCAGGCAGGAGATGGCTCTGGGACACATGAGGTTACAGCAGCAGGGGAAACACTTCCCTTCCAAGGAGTTCACAGGCATTTTAGAATCACAGGATGGCTTGGGTTGAAGGGATTTTAAAGCTCATCTTGTTCCACGCTGTGTCACACCTTCCACTAGACCAGGCTGCCCCAAGCCCCATCCAACCTGGCCTTGAATGGATGTGCAGCTTTTGGGGAGACCACGGGGATGCAATGGGACATCGAGGAGCTACCTTGGACCAGTGGGATAAAGATTCTCTGGCCAACACCCTGGACCTGGGATGGAGCAGGACTTGCAGCTGTGCGAGCTCAGAGCAGCTCCAACCGAGGTGCTGAGGAAGAGGAGTCAATAGATGGTGCTCTCCTTTCATGCAATATCCCAGCGTGAGAGTCCTGCTGGAAGGGATGTCCATCTTTCCCTGCCTCTCTCCAGGCATGAGGCATGAGGACCCCCCTCATCCTGGACATTTTGGGGGTGTCTCATGCTCCTCTGCTCCTCTGCAGCTGGAGAGTCTCCTCTTCCCCCTCCCAAGGAGCTGTGACCTCCCACCCCTAAACAAACGGTGTTTTGTGGTTTTCTAGTTCTCCCCGGACTGTCTGTGCACACCACACAGTCTGCCTGGAAAGAAAGGAGCTCTGCACTTGTAAAATATTAATAATATGGGTTTTCAATCCAGTAATGCCTTCCTGAGACACTGCAGAGCCGATGAGAGCTGATAATGTTTATTTTCTCTGCAGTGCATTATCTGGCTGGAGCAGCCCTGCTTGGGAAGACAGCTCAGGGTCACTTGGGCACAGAGGGCGTTGGGACACGCTAGTTTGGCTGTCTCCTGCTCAGCAAAATGTTTCTCTGCTGCCAGCTAATAAAGGGGTTGTTTAATTATTATTTAATGAGCTTGTGCAGGGGAAGCAGATAATCTTCCCTTGGGAAACATCAAGTCCCTCTGCCCAGCATGTCCTATTGGTTGTCCCATCCATCAGACCCCAACAAGGAATGCCAGGTGGGAAAAGTGGCTGTGCATTTCTGTGTTCTTGCTGCACCTGAGTCGGAAAATATCCCATTTGGGTATTTCATCTAAGAGCTCTTTGGGATGAAAAGAGGACAGGGAGCTCACCTGAGGTCTCTCCATATTCCCCTCAAATGTGACTTTGCAGCTGTCCTGGTCTCCAAGCTGCAACTTCATGAAATCCGAGTGTGAATTTATCCTGAAAACCTGAGCTGTTTGTGCACCTGTTTGCAGCTGAGACAGCCCATGGTACCCGTGTTCAAGGCAGCCCTGGGAGAGCTGGGGGGGTTCGCCTGGAGAAGAGAAGGCTCCAGGGAGACCTGAGAGCCCCTTGCAGGGCCTAAAGGGGCTCCAGGAGAGCTGGAGAGAGACTTGGGACAAGGGATGGAGGGACAGGACACAGGGAATAGCTTCCCACTGGAAAACGGTAGATTCTCCCAGACTTCTTACAGCATTTCATCTCACCTCGAACTTAAAAATCAGGGTTTCAGAAAGACAGGGGAATATGCCCACCCCCAATGCTTTAAGCTGGTTTCAGGGACACACCAGCTCCACCTCGTGCCCAGGTTAAGCCCACACCCCTCGGAGAAGCAAATGTGCACAGCAAAGAAAGGGATGCAGCCCATGATCCCTGGGCTGTTGGCACATTCCCTGCACAGCAGCACAAAGGCTTCCCCCCTTCCTCGCTTGCTGCACCCCAAATTGCTCAGAGCCAGGAGGAACCACCACTGGTTCCTCCAGGGATCCTGCCCTGGATCTCTGGGAAGGTCTGGTGGAAGGTGACCTGGCACGGGAGTGGAACTGGGCAAGCTCTGAGATCCCTCCAAACCCAAACCAGCCCATGACTGTATGATCTCCCTGCAGCACAGAGATGGCCAGGGCCGAGGCCAGCTCCATCCATGGCACTGTTGGCACACACAGATCACATCCCAAAACACAACCCAGACATCCAAAGGCACCAGAAGAACCCCAAAGGGAGGAATCCCGGTTTTTCTTCGTGGCTTTAACTGGGGCCACCTGCTTGTGAACCCCGTTTGTCCTCTGGAAACGCCTCAGTGCTCAGAGCAAGAGAGCACTGGGGAGACATTGAAAAATAAACCATCCGGGGTTAGATAAAAAAAGTTTCCCTTTCACAAACCCCAGGGTTACAGCACAGCTTCAAAATATACAAGAATAAACGCAGATAAAGCGAACTGAACAAGAACACGAATGCAAGGCATATGCCCTGGAGCAATGGGACCCTTGCAGGGAGGGGAGATGGGACTGGAGCCGGGGGATGGAGCGAAAGCCAAGACCAGTTTGGACTGGGACTGCGTCAGCAGCTCCCAAAGCCCTGGGTCAGCAAACCACACGGGCAGCTCCGCCGGTTTGGGACTGCAGTTCCAGGAGAAGGCAAAAGCAAAAATAAAAGAAATCCTTTGGAAAGGGATTGCAAAAGTTTCAGTTGAAACGTGCTCCAGCTTTTGAGATTGCAGCCGAAGCCCCACCTCCACACACCCATTCCCACCTCCAGCCCGGGGAGGGAAAGTGGTGAATGGTCCCAGCAGCTGCTGGCAGAGGGAAACTTTCGCTCCCAGCGCGGTGGAATTGGGATCAGGAGAGTCCTGGAATTGTGAGTATGGCAGCACCTGCTCGCTGCGAGGAGATGCTGAGGAGGACTGTGGTCCCGAACTCGCGGGCTGCCTCCCGGTTTTAGGGGTTGGGAAAGGTGAAGTTTCTCAAGCTGCTTTTCCCCGGCTTGTTTTGCAAGACTCCTTGAGCCACTTTGGCTCGGGAGCTGGATTTTCCCAGCAACTTAAAAAGCGAAGGGGAAAAAACAAGGAGTGATTACACGCCTGTTCCCTGCCGGCTTTCTGCACGTGTTTTGTCGCTTCCTCTCTGTGCTTATTTATTTAAGGTGTTTGGGTCTTGTTTTTCCTTTTTTTTTTTTTTTTCCCCCCCAGTGAGGCAGCTCCACTTATTTCTCCCTTCGCAGGGAGTTTCCCAGTTTTCCCAATGCCTGAGGCTGCCGCGGCGGGTTTCTTGTACCGTTTTGCTTCTTTTACTGTGGCAACGCCTCTTCCCAGCCCAGACCTTGTGGAAATGCCAGGCGGGCACGGACCTGACCTGTGCCTGGGCCGGCACAGGGGCACCCTGGCCAAGCCCCGGCTTCTGCAGCAGTGCAATCATGAAATGGTGTGTGTTTGGAGAGACCTCAGAGCTCTCCCAGTTCCATCCCCGTGCCCGGAGCAGGGTCACCTTCCACCAGAACTTCCCAGTGATCCAGAGCGGGATCCCACTGGTGGTTCCACAAAGGTGACCTCCTGGCTCTGAGCGATTTGGGGGCAGGGGGCAGGAAAGGGTTAAGTCCGGGAAAAGGGGGAAGCCTTTGTGCTGCTGTGCAGGGAATCTGGGAGTAGCCCAGAGCCCACGGTGCCGGGCTGCATCCCTTTCTTGGTTGTGCTGCTCCGGAGAGGTGTGGGCTTTAACCTGGGGACAAGCCCCGTGTTCGGGGCTGAGCTTCTCCGTGGGACCTTGATCTGGTCAAAAATAGATCCTAACCCCGCTTTCTCCGTGTTTCCTGGCTCCCAGTTTGGTCCCAGCGGTTCACTGGGGGTGCTGGTCTGCCCCGTGCTGCAGCTCGGCAGCACATCCCAATTTTATGAGGTGGCTAAATGTGGACTTGAGGGATGGCTTGGGAGCTTCATTACCCATCTTTAGCCCCCAAGATTTGGAAAAGTTCATTTCCTAATGAAATGGAGGCAGTGTGTAGGGCATGGCAGGGGATGAGGGGAATTTCTGGCTTGAAACTCGATTCAAACACTGCGAGGCTCTGAAATGTTATCTGGGGGAAATTGAGAGTGAGAAATCCTGGGACAGGCTCGCTCCCAGGGATGCAGGAAAGGGCTTGTTGCTGTCAGGCAGCTTGGCTGGGGCCAGATGTGGCTCCAGCTGCAGGCCTGGGGACTTCCAGAAAATAATCTCAATTTTCACTGGACTTTCTTGACCCATCTGAATGTGTCAGCCTGGAACTGCCCTCGGGCTGAGCAGGAGATGCCTCTTCCAAAGGATGTGAAAAATCTGGCAGCCGAAAGAAAAGAAGCAACATTCCTCCATGATACAGATGACTTTGCAGTCCATTAATTTTAAATAATGGGAGAAGGACATGAATTAATTCCCCTTGCTGCCCAAAATATCCTGTGCCAGCTCCAGCCTCCAATGGCTGCTCTGAACTGGGGCTTTGCTGCTTGTCCCAGCATTGCCAAAATGTCACCAGTTCTCTCCTGTCCACAGTGTTTCCTCCTGAGCTTTGAAAGCAGCTCCTCTCTTGCTGGCTACGGAAGTTTCTCACTTCCTAAGCTCTGCTCAGTTCCCTTTCATGGCAGCAGCATTTCCCTGCTCCTACTCTTCCATCCATCCCTTTTGTGTGCAGGTGGCTGGCAGCATTCCCAGCTCCTGGTAAAGCAAATCTTACTAGTCTCTCCCAAACTTTTGGGGATGCTTTGCTTGTTTATCTCAGGGTTAGTGTGGAGGGAGAAAAGAGCTGCCCTTGGATGTCCCCCAGACATAAAAGGATAGGAAGCAGGTGAATTGGAGTGTAGGTGCTCCTCATGGAATACTCAGCATTTGCTGGGGAGCAAGTCCTGACCCTGGGCAGACCAGATGTGCAGATAGAGAATACTGGGTTTGTTGGGATGTCTTTTTATTGAAGTTATAGATAATACACAGCAAACAACCTTTGGATTGCTCCAGGAAGCCTCAGCTCCAGGGAACTGCTGTGGTTTTCACTCGGGCTGTGCGTTCAGGGCACGAGGCTTTTGCAGTGGCTCCTGCTCTTCATTTTGCAAGAGCTTCCCCTTCTAAAAGTTAGGTTTTTTTCATTGGAGTGGCTGCATCTGTCGCTCACTGGAGCCACTCTGGCTCTGCCTGTTTCCTCCAGCTGCTCCAGGCACTGCCAAGTCTTACAACTCTGCTGAAGGACTCAGCAAAGATTCCGTGTTTTTCTCAATCTTCACTTCTGTCCAAGCAGCAGGAAAGTACAGAGGAAGAACAAATATCAGGAAGGTATTTATGGTGTATAAAACCCCAAATCAGGCAAACTCTGGTTTGGGATCAGACTTATATTGGCAGGTGTTTGTCCATAGAGCCAAGCACTGTCTGCAGCCTATGGAAAGGCAGGTGTCTCCTGGGGAACAGACTCTTCATACTTCATTCATCGTTTTAACTCCTATCCAGGGTTTTCAGCTGCTTGAGGCAGGGACTAATTCTCTGCCAAACACACAGGAGGTGTTGCTTAAATAGAAAATCCCCACTGAGGACACCAGATATGGCTTTTCTGTAGCACTCACCACATCTGCCTGTCCCCATCAGGAGGATGTTCAGCATCTGGCACAAGGAGAGGGAGGGCTGACTTTTTTGTTCAATATCCTGCATAAAACCTTCCAGAGGAGGAGTAAAACCTGCAAAGCCGTGAGATCCTGCCCTGGCAAATGTCTCACACATCCCTGAGCTGAGCTGCTCTCAGACACAGCACAAGTGCCAGCACAAACTAACCCAGGGGTCACAAGGGCAGGAAGGGCAGGAGGTTTAATGGGATGCTGCTTGTGCTCAGAATAGGATGCATCCCATGAAAGCCTGGGAAGCAGCAGCAACACGGTTGAGCAGGGGGTGGTGGGGAGGGAGCAGACCCCGAGGGCTCCATAGCCCTGGACAGTGTTTGAAAGCAAAACTGAGCAAGTGATTCATGGAATGATGCAATTCCCAGCCTCACTGCTTATGTAACTGCACAACACCTCCCTCGGCTGGAACCTCTGTCATTCCTTCCCTCTCCAATGCTGCTTTTGGGTGCTTTATGCTCTGGAAGGAAAAGTTACCCCAGCCCAGTGATGGGACTGCCTTGCAAGGATGCAAGAATGGAAGGAGAGCAGCACTGGGGAGGGTTTGGGGGTGCTGGGGGATGAAAAGCTGGATGTGCCCTGTCCATGTGCTCTGGCATCCAGAACCCCCCCATGCCCTGGGCTGATCCAGCAGAGCAGGGGGGAATTCTACCCCTCTGCCCCTCAGGGGAGACCCCCCTGCAGAGCTGCCTCCAGCCCTGGGAACAACAGCACAAGGACCTGGAGCTGCTGGAGAGAGTCCAGAGGAGACCCTGGAGATGCTCCCAGGGCTGGAGCCCCTCTGCTCTGGAGCCAGGCTGGGAGAGCTGGGGGGGTTCACCTGGAGAAGAGAAGGCTCCAGGGAGA